CATATAAAACAGTCAAACATGTGCCCTTAGAACCCAATTTTGTTCCTGAATGTTAGTCTCCATTAAAGGAATCAAGGTTCTTTGGTGAGCAATGTATTCCATGTTTTAGAAAAAATAACTCAAGGTGAGTCTGGGGGTATCTTAACCATTATCACAAAGAATGTTTTCAGCAGTTCCTGGGGAGGGGGAGTTGTTAAAAAAGGATAAAGAGATAGACTTCACAAGAGGGCTACTAGGCACAAGTAGGAACAATCTGAATATCAACGAGAAATAATTACACACCCACCATAAATGTTAAGATAAAAAAGACTAACAACTACAAATATTGGAAAAAATGCAGAGCAAGTGGAAGTCTCATATACTGTTGCAGGAATGTAAAATGGTACAATCCTTTGGAAAAAAGGTCTGGCAGTTTTTTATTAAACTAAACATACACCTACCCAAGGACCTAAAAATTCCATCCCTAGATATTTACCCAAGAGAAATGAAGACATACGATCACAAAACATTTATACAAGAATGTTCATAGCAGCTTTATTCATAACAGTAACCAAAAAAAGCAGAAAGAGCCTAGGTGTCCATCAACAGGAAAATGGAAAACCAAACTGTGACATACTCACAACAAAGAATGCTCAGCAATAAAAAGAAATGAACCACTAATACATGCAACAACATGAATAAATCTCAAAAACATCATGCTGAGTGAAAGAAGCATTATGCTCTGTATCATTTTACTTATATGCAATTTTAGAATAGGCAAATGTAACTTGTGATATAAAAGAATCAGAACAGTAGTCATATCTGAGGGGTGGGGAAGGGACAGACTGGGGAGTGGAATTAAGAAACTTTGTAGGATGACTGCAATGTTCTAAATTTTGAAGAGTTTCTGCAAACGCTCGGCAAATTTATACCTAAGATTTGTGATTTTCATTGCATGTAAATATTAAATCAAAAAATTTAAAAACTAAATATTAAACTGTAGTTAATGATATGCAGCTGAAGTATTAGGAGGAAAATTCTTTCAATTTTACTATATGTTTGAAAATTTTCATCATAAAATAATGGGGAAAAGCTCTCAGTTGGTCTTAATCTTTCTTTTTTTCTTTTTTTTGAGACAAAGTCTCACTCTGTCACCCTGGCTTAGAGTGCAGTTCCTGGGCTCAAGTAATCCTCCTGCCTCAGCCTTTTGAGTAGCTGGAACTACAGGTAAGCGCCACCATGCCCAGCTAATTTTTTCTATTTTTAGTAGAGATGGGGTCTCGCTCTTGCTCAGGCTGGTCTTGAACTCCTGGCCTCGAGTGATCCTCCTGCCTCAGCCTCCCAGAGTGCTGGCATTACAGGTGTAAGCCACTATGCCCAGCTGGTCTTATTTTTCTATTACATATCCTTTGCTTGAAATAAAGTATTTTTTTCTGGTCTTGTTTTTTTTTAAATTGATTTTTTTGTTTTTAGAGACAGGGTCTTACTCTGTCATCCATGCTGGAGAACAGTGGTGTGATCACAGCTCACTGCAACCTCCAACTCCCAGGCTCAAGTGATTCTGCTGCCTCAGGCTCCCAAGTAGCTGAGCTATAGGCCCAGGCCACCATGCCTGACTAGTTTTTAAAAATTTTCTGTAGAGCCAGGATCTTGCTATGTTGCCCAGTCTGGTCTCAAACTCCTGGCATCCCAAAATGCTAGGATTACAGGCATGAGCCACCATGCCCACCCCTATTCTTTCTGTAAGATAGAGATTCTATAGTAAAACAGGTACCAGAAATTAGTCCCTGAATCTTCCCTGGGGTTCTAAAAGGTAAATGATATATGTAAACATGGTAAGAAAGAGAACATAAAAATTATTGACTAGGAAGCTGAATTATGTTAAAAGTAATTACTAATACTTGTATTTATTATTACCACAAACGAAATCAAAGTATTGTTTTTTAACAACTTCTAACCATTGAATGAAGAACCATCTTTTCTGTCAAGTTATGTGTGAATTGTGAATTGTGTCCAAACTTTGCCCAAAATTTGGATATTCAATCATCATTTAAAAAAACACTTATTAAGCACTTTCCTATGTACTCAATATTATAATTGTCAGTATGTCTCACATATGGGATAAAATAATATCCACTGCCTTTTGAGAAGTTTGGAGGAAATTTGGCATAAATTTGTGTCAAACAAATCTGGATGTTTCCCATCTCTGCACTTATTAGCTGCGGGACCTTGGGCAAATTAATTTCTGTAAGTCTTACTTTTCTCATTTGTACAAAGGAGAAAAATAATGGTAGTTCATACCTCACTTGATTATTTTGAATATTAAATGAGATGACCCATTTTACATGTACTGTATTACAGTGACTGATAAATAGAAAGTAATCAATAAATATAAATTATTAAAAAAAGAAGTGTGTATAAGACAAAAAAACATTCAATTGGTAGAAGAATGCGGAATGCCTTAATTTGTTTAAATAGAACAATATCATCTCCTTACTAGGCAGTTCAAATAGAAAATGCGACAGGATTCGTTTTGTTTTTTCCCAGAGTTACAAGAAATATTGTAGAAAGTCAAAGAACAGTAAGCTTGCTGCACTGATGCTGTGAGAACATAGAAACTTAGATTAAGGAGTGCAATGCAGAAATACACCTCTCTTCAGCTTAATGCCTGTACTTGCTGAGAGCATATACCCTGCTTCACCTGGGCTTACGTAAACACTCAGAAATGTTTCGTACCTGTCACTAGTACCTGTCAAGTATGTGGGCACATAGGTAGAGTCTCTAAAACAGTCAGGTGAAGAGAGGGTTTAAGGTAGGCAGGAGGATATTAAGCACCACTCCCCTCCATCCCTAAGAGAATGGCAAGCATGTCTGGCAGGTGGCAGAATGAGCAACTGTGTGACAACACTGCAGGGAGCTGGGAAGGCCATATCTTTTGGGAAAGCATGTTGCATTGTCTCCTGCCATGTGTGGTATCCAGATTTCCCACATTCTTCGCTATCTTCCACATCTTTTGGTATCTTTTTAACAACTATCTTATTAACAATCATGTAGCCCACATTCACACATACTGTCACCATTGGCTGAAATTAAGCTGTAGCAGTTTATCCATTTAGTTGGGGCATAGCTCTCGTGTTTGTTACACTGCCCACAACTCCCTACTGTCTGTCCTTCCTGGCCCATATGGCATTTAGACCATATTTGGCAGTGGTAACACATTAGGAGTTTCTTAGTGGTCAGTTCATATATAGACTAGATACTTCCACCCCCTCTCTCAACATCAAAAAAGCAGTCAAGAAGCTCAGATAGTTCTCAAATGCCTATCTGAGTAGACGAATTTCTATCATTTCATCCAAAGAAGAAGATGACTTAAAGAAGGAGAAACTCAATAACCAATTTAAAAAAAAAAAATCTCTGACAGGACTGAAGTCTATAGATACCCTATTCTGAAACACTCTTAGAAATGGAAAGTAAACATTCTGCTTTTACACAGCTCTGCATCTGCTTTGAAACCCACACAACACTGGTTTCTTTCTTTTCTCTGATATTTTCACTCTACTCTTACTGAGCCTGTTTTTTTCAAGATGTAAATTTACTGGGCAGGACTGTTTAGATATAGCTAGTGTGTGATTGAAAGTCTGGGGCAATAGCTAGCACACTGCAATTATTTAACTGCTCTGTAATCATAATCGTATCTCTAAAATGCTCTGAAGGCCTCAGATATTATATTAAATAGCACTATTAATTATGCATAAATGAGGATGGATTTTTCAATTAGTAGATATAAAAGTATTAGAATTTAGTATAGGGAGATAATTTTTTCATCTTGCTCAGAAAGTAATCACTTCTACTTTCCCAGATGGTTATTATACACAGGATCAAATTCAGAAAGATTTATTTTTAGCCCATATAAAAATATTTTCCCTTATTCTAAAATGTTAGCAATCTTTTCTATTGCACAAAACAGTTTTAGGTTTGTTCCCTTTATTTCCTTTAAATTTATAGATCCTGCTACTAATTCCTTGACTTTTGGAATAACTAATACCTCAAATGTGAAATTTATTTGCAAATTTTCAAGGGCAGAATTCACATCATTCTTAACATGGGATCAAGCCAAAACTGAAGGAAAAACTGAAGGATTTTAATGTAAATCATCCAAGCTAAAATTCCATATTTTAACCTTAAAATTGAATCAGCAATGATTTTTATTGCTGTTTCTTTTCTTTTTTCTAACTAGTTATTCTTTTGAGGTTGAATCAGCAAAATGTGCTGAACATGTGCACTGATTGCAAGCAACTGCATTTCTCAAACAGGAAGCATAAAGAAATACTTTCTCCCTTTACTTAGGATGCCTTTATCTAACATTCTGAAGAATGATTATTGAAGTTCAAGGATCATATTTAGATCTTTTCTAACAAAAAAGAAAAAAAACATTCATTTCATAACTAAGATAGCCAAAATTTCTTTCCGGCTAATCAGGTAACTCCCAAGCTAGTAAGAACTCCTCCTGGGATTTTATCTACTCTTCCTCAGGGAACAGAACTGCTGCAGGAGAGGGTACCTTTATCTCACTGCATAGGTATGAAAATATTGCCTAAAAAAAATTGGAAGATTGACTTAATAAATTGAATGGTGAAATGAGAACATCTTTAGATATATTAGGAGCTAAGCAGGATACATATCACAAAAAGTTTCATTTAAGGTTTTCTTGGAATCTTTTACATTAGTCTGTAATTGAAACACAAATATTCAATGGGAACATCAAGCCAAGGGAGTAAGACCATGGAAGAAAAGATAGTTTGGGACCTAGAACCAGTTCCTGATACTACATACAAATACAAAACATACATACACACATATATAAGATTTTTTTTTATAAAACTGTGATTACATGTTTTTGGCTCAAAAGTATGCTTTCACATTACACATCTCATTTCTCATCCTTAAGCAAAGTTTGATATAGAGGATATAGGATTTCTTTCTGTATCTTTAGTATCTTTATTTTTGTCTCTCTCCTAGCCTTACCAATTAAAATTCCATACCATCCTCTAAGAACCATGTTAAATACCTTCCTATCAATGACCCTCTCCTCAATAACTGAAATTAACCTGTCCTTTTCTGTTCCCAGTATTTTATATTTACATTACCACTTAGCTGAAAGCTCCAAAACAGTAGACTTCTCGGGACAGCATTCTAAAAAGTCATTACATAAAACGAAGTCCTCACAATCTTCTACACCAAGAGTTTAGAAAGTCTGAAGTCAACACAAGACATTTTCTGGAAAATACTAGAGACTATGCCATGCAGATAGTACAGAGGAGGACTGGAGACAGTGTTTGGCTAAAAGTCTCTTAAGTTAACATAATCTCACTCTTTTTAATAACTTCGGTTTATGGTTTCTTCTTCTTCCCCAGTGTCACATACCATCTGGTAAACATAGCAGCTGAAGACCCTGTTGGGTTTCTGTTCTATGTGTAGCACCAAGTCTCTGTCAAAGTAGACTTCATGGCTGTATGTCTGTAACAAAAATACAATCATATGGAATCTCTTTTTCAAATAACCATATTCCCTACTGTGTCACTAAAATGCCACAGCACTTATGCTAGGGATCTTCAAACATACACTTACAGGCAAAATAGTTACCAGAAATAGGTTTATTTTTCATTATTTGTAGATATAAAGATTACTAATGAAAAAACACTCTATAGAATATAGAGAATGAAAAGAACTCTGGATTCAATAGTCTAAATACCCAGATCTTATTGCCAACACTGCTACTATCTATCTCATTGTGTGATCATGTGTGAGTTGCTAAACCTCTCAAGTTTTCCATTGACAAAATGAAGGCTGGATAAAATAATGTCTACTGTTCCTTTTAACTTTTATATGCTATAATAGTTAAAAGATCAGACAAACAGTTCCAAGAGTACCTGGAAACCCTCACATGACTAGATATGATCTTTATTAAATAATTATGGAAATTTATTACAGTATATTTTCATTTTTTTAAAATGTTACCAAACTTGGGGAGAAAATCAAAGACCAGAGTAAGGAAACAGCAGGAAAACACATAAAGTTTTATCTTTAAGGCCACTGGTAAAGAGGTAACCCCCTACTGCCGAGAGAAGGAAAGCTTAAGAAGTACTCATTTTGTCCTATGTATAGGACAATAAACTCACATGGTCATGGCATACGTGAATCTGGACTAACATCGACACAGTAATATCTGTTCTAATAAATAACACCTATATAGAACACTCTCACAACTTTGTATCACATGGACTCTACTTACCACATCCCATGACTCCACTAGTGGAATGCTTTTAAGTAAGGTTCCATATTCATTACAGTGGAAATCCAGGTGAGCTTTGCCTTCAGCATCTATCTGAGTAACAGCTACCACAGAAAGCAAATCCAACTCATCTTCATAGTCCACAATTTTGAAAGTCTAGGGGATAGATGGATAAAATGGAGGGAAAGAGGGGCAAATTCTAGTTACTTGGTTAGGATTATTCCTACATTTGTAGTTTAACTAATCTATTACAAAAATACAGGAGAAGGAAGAATGAATGAGTGGGATAATAGGTAGAAATACGTCTCTACTTATAAGTCTAGTAAAACATCAGTCCCAAGATTTTCAAGAGTTAAGCTCTATCCTACAGATTTTGGCAAACAGAACCAAGTCTATGCAGATCTCAGGCAAAGTATAATGGAATTCTCTATAATGATAGCGAACCAGAGCTTCTCCAAATTAAAAACAAGTATTCAGCTGCTGCTGCCCCTGACATGTGTGTTCGCTGATTCCTGGATTAGACTAAATATTAGTATATGAAGCTCAGTTCTGAAACCTGAAGACTGTTCACTGAGCTCTGAAAGTTCTCACACCGAAAAAACTCAAAAAACAAAAACAAACTCGGCCCCCCAAAACCAACCAGTCATTTCAAGAAGCGATAGCCTATTATATACTATTTATGATTTTATTTTCCATCTTTTTTGTTTTTTTAATAAACCCTTTTTGGTTCCCTAAAGAAAGCAAAAATGGCTGCTTATACTTGAGTGAGTGTATGAGAAACTAAAATCCAACCCACTGAATGGGACTGGGTCAAGAGAGGTTAGCTATGATAAAGAGAAAATCTGCCAAACTCTGTCTCAAGGAAGAAAACCTGGGACTCCAAAAACCTCATGGGAAGCAGATTAGCACTCAGCCATCCAGGGATGGACCACAGGAAAGCACATATTGGCTGAATGCCTGGCATCAGCTTTAAAGACAGGCACAGCAAGTTTCTCTTAATCACCATGTACTAATCCTTCATTTATGTTTGCTCAAACTGCTCTTTAATCCATTGACATTTTCTGCCTTTATCATTTTTATTACCTGTGGTTCCTTTTTATTTATTTTTTTGCCTTCATCTTACCATGGTAAAATTTCAAAGGGTGACTTCTTACCTGGGTGTCAGTGATTTTATAGATTTAAGGCACAACTCCTTTCAACTTTTCCTTTATAAGCTAAAAGATTTTGCTTTTTAATCTCATGATATTGAGCATCTGTCTTTGCTACCACCTCTTCCCTCTTAATTATTCATGCTATCTGTTGGTAATTTTAGTACATCTTTCTTGAATATAGTTTTATATACAGAGTAGGGAACTTCCTGCTTTGTTGAGGACTCCCTCCTCACACCTTCCGCCTCTAGCCCATGAACATTAACAAACATATCCATGTCTAGTAAGTAAAAAATAAGGCAAAAGTCACAAATTCATTAGGACATAACTGAAGAATTTTGTAATAAGAGATTTCTCTAGAAAGTATACACATCAACAAAACAATAAGCTAATAGTGTTTTCAAATTATTTTAGTTCTATGAACCTTTCTACAAACAAAATTTTATGACTAATTCCAATATGAAAAAAGGGGATGGTGGGGCTGCTGTGTTGAAATAACACACACAATCCTATTCCACTCAGCCTGTATGGAACCCCTCAACCCCAACCCCCACCTCAGGCTCTGGGAAGCATTAATTTGAAACAATGTAAGTACACACTGGTTTGGTTTGTTAGCTCTGGCTAAAGTCATACCTCTTGTTCTGGGTCATCATCCAGAAGGTGAAAACTTTTTTTTACCACCCGTCCAGAAGCTGTAACAGTGAATAGGTTTTCATTCTATCATAGGGAGAGAAATAAAAAGATATGACAAATTCTCATATGCAGTCAAAGGCAAAAATTATGTTAACAAATTTGGTAAAACAAAACTAACCAACCCTTCTGCCAATATCCACAATTCTTTCCTCAACTGAGAAAATCCTGAATCAGATTTCTCATCCTCCAGTTAGCAAAAATACTTTAGTAAAGTTTTTAATGAATGAAATACCAGAATAGGCCAAAAATAAATAAATTAATTAAAAGATTATAGATTTGCTGTTGCTTTGCCCTTCTGACCTTTGCCTTAGTATAGTACAGCAAATTTTAGAAATTTCCCTCCCCATCATTTTCTTTGTGTTCTTAATATATACACTAAAGGAAAATACCATATGGGCTTAAAGTATGTTATTTTTAAAGATTTATATGTATCCCTACTAACTATAAGTTTGCACAACTCATTAGTCCCAAAGGTTGATAATTCATTAATAAAAACTTGAAAGAGAAATAAGGATAAGATAAACTCAACATAATCAACTGTTTTCAAATCTCATGTACACAGGGCTAATACTGGCTACCCATGTAGACGAAACACACAGACTTTTATAGGGTTGTGCTGTTGTTTTCAGTCATATTTATTTTCTTTAATTTAATTTTTAAAATTTTTACATAGAAAAGGTACAGTAAAATGTTTTCAGCCACATTCAAAGGCAAATAGATCTGCATGTTATATTGTTGCATAGAAAAACAATGATATACAAAGGATTTTAAAGTACTCCAGACTTACTTTGTTCTCCCTGTTGGCCAAAATGACAAAATCTTCAGAGATCTGATACTGAGAACTATTATTTTCTGTTTCAGTTAGCTTTAAAACTCTAGAAAGGAATAAAGGATTTTGAGAACTAAGACTTCAAAACACCATCAAAGTGCCAAAGTTGAACTACTGCAATGAAACTTGACAAATAAAAATTATAGTAACAACACTGAGTTAGTTCTCTTCTCCTCCTGATTAGTCTGAAATACTAATGTACGATCACTAAGAATCCATAAACTCCTTCAAATTCAGAGATTTTGTTAAACAGAAAAACGTAGTAACTGTGACAACAGGTGCAACTGAAGTAGGTAATGAAACAGCTTGCTCAGGCCTAAGCCATCTTCCACACTGGCTTAATGCAAGTTACTCTGAAGAACCTCATCTCTGCCACCCTACAATAGGTCTTTAACATTTCAGCTTTCACAATGGTATTATAAGAGATATTTGCATTTTTATTTCTGAAGATAGAATGAGATATTTATGAAAAACACTAAGAGTTAACTATAAGAGTGGATCAGCAACTAAATCTAAACTAAGACAGTTTTCATGATAGAGAAATATTTAAAAACTCCAAGTGACTATACTTTTTTCTTAGGATTAGTTATATTTAAAGATTTAGGTTTTGAGTGCAAATGGATCAAGCTTATTAAGGAAGAGAAAATAAAATAATTTGCTCACCCTTCACACAAATCTGTTCACATCATTAAGAAGCTTCAAAAGCACAATGTTTTTTCTAAGCTCAAAGTCTCAAATGCAGGCAAAGAGAACAGCAGAGAGAAGCAGGGGGGAGCTAGAGGCCTCAGAGTTACCAGAGACAAAGAAATCAGATAATATTTTAAATTACTCAATAAGTTATCTTAATTAGTGTCAATATTTCAAAGTGCCTATCTTTCAAAACTTGGCAAAAGGGCACACACTCTGTGTGCCTTGTTTCCTTAAACTCAAACTAATATGGGTGGTAACAAAGATTAAAAAGATAGGTGGTAATAAACATTAAAAATAAGGCTTACTGAAGCTGAATCATAGTTTAAGATGTTTTGTAAAAGTTAATTGTATTTCATTAAATGCTTTCATCCTCCTTCATAATTGATCCAGAGAGGTAGACTGATGATCAGGAAGTATAAAGAATAAAGAAGGCAGACATGTCCCTTCTTATTCAACAAGTACTTACTGAGCATCTACTCAGTGCTGGGATTATAGGTGTCAGCAAAACAGACTCTTTCCCTGTCATTAAGGAATTTATGATATCAGACTTAGATATTTAAACAGATAATCACACAATTAATCAAAATTGTTCTAAGTGCTACAGAGGAAGATTACATAGTAGGTGCAATAAAAATACAATGGGCAAGCAAATCAAACAAGAGGTATCAGGGAAGGTCTCTGTGAAAAAGTGACATTTATGCTGGGCCATAAATTATGAATAAAAATTAGGCAGAAGAACACGTAGGGGAAACAGCCTCCTAACAGAAGGAATAGGTCCTCAGCTTTCTGAAAAGACAGTATGACTACAGTTAACTGAGTGGGAGGAGGGTCTTTTAGACTATGCTGACTATGTTGGTCTTTATCATAAGAGCAATGAAAAGCCATAAAAAGATTAAAGCAGAATTCACTTGCTTAGGTTCTTGTATTTGTTCACGTCTTTAAGAATCATTCTAGCTGCTGAGAAGAAAACAGCGAGTACAAGAGTAGATTCTGGAAGCCTTGAAAGTAGGCTATTACTATAGTCAGCTAGTGATAACAGTGGCCAAGGGCAGAAATAGGTAGACTTAGTGTATATGCGTGTATGAGTCAGAGAGAAAAAGAGAATGCCTTGTAAGTGTTTAAATGTATATATACTGATGAAAGAAAGGTGATAAGAAGGTGTCAAGAATGATTCTGGATTTCTGGCATGACCTTAGATAGAGGTTTGGGCTAGTATATAAATTTTGGAGTTTTGGTATATACACAGTTTTTTTTTTTTTAGTTTGTTGGCCCTTTTATTTTTTTCTCTTTTTTCTTTCAGCTGGAACCCATTCTACTAAGTGAAGTATACACAATTTTTGAAGTCAAGGGAATAAGTACACTCATGAATAAAGGGAATGCTGAGTGAGAAAAGAAGAGGGCCTAAGTCCTGAGGACATCCAACAATTAACTCTGGGTAGAGAAGAAAGAGCATGAAAGGATGCTAAAAGAGATAGCTGAGAGAGGGAGGAAAATAGAACTGTGGTGTCAGGGAAGCCAAATGAGTATTTCAAGGAAGGAAAGGTCAACTTGTAGGAGATGTGAGTGCTCTGAAAGCAAACAAAGTTAAACAAGGTTTACTTCAAATAATCCACTACCATTCTGCTGTCAAAGCTGTCTTTCAGAACAAAGACAAATCATCTTCCTTCTTATTAATCCTAGAGAATTAAGACTTGTTAAGGAAGGGCCAGTCTGTAATTCCCTTTCACTTACATATCAATCACCAAAGAACTTATTCAAATGTAATATTTATACATGTGAATTTATACCGTAATGATGAAGCTGAAAAAATATTAATAAAGTCAGATTTTTCTAGTTGCCAGTCTGAGGAAGCACCCTACAACAACCTTATTATTTCCATAACTGGCTCAACAGGTAGGTGGCAAAAATAAAGATGCCAATAAATGCTACCAAAAGCTACCTTTAACTTTCAATTGCTAATGAAATTACTCACTTGACTTGATTTGGGCCAACATGTATTATTCTACCAGAAGCATCAGGGTGGAAATAGATCCAGTCAGATTCTAGAGAACAACACTCCATTTCTTGGATCCCATTTTTTGCCTGAAGTTGAAAAAAAAAAATTGAAGACAAAGATTAAAGGAAAATGAAGTAATTTTTAAAATCTAACACAGTGATATCAGTAAGTCTAACATATAAGGAAGAAAATATTAACTAGTTGAATTGGGATGTATGTGAGGGCTGAATGAGGATATTCAAATTTGAGAAATTTAGAACATTTAAATTCAGAAATTTCATGGATTTACTTTGTACCAGACATTGTACTTCACAAATAATAAAAACAAAACAGTTACCCTATCTCAAGCATCTACTTTGTGTCAGGAACTGCAACAAATACTTTATAGTCACTATTTCATTTGATCTTAATAACACTCAAAGCAAGTATTGTTATCTGCATTTTACAGATAAGGAAACTATTAATAACACACAAAGAAAATAAATCATTTGCCCAATATTTTGAACCTACTAAACAGCAGATTTGAATCCCAAGTCTGTGGACTTTTCATCACAAACCTGCCACAATTGTGCACATGTAGCTCCCCACAATTTCTTCCTCCCTACCCCAACCCCAGCAACCTGTCAATTAGAAGAGCTGGTAACAGAAAAATAAACATGTTACCAAACCTACAGTCTCAGACATGGGTCACATAATCTCCTTGGTTAAGTCAAATATTAAACTCTAATGTCTGAAGAAATGGTCTAACACTACTTAGCATTTAAGGCAAAAACAGAGATCTCACTGTAGTATGTTTAGACATTAAAATGAATAAAACTATGATATGTGATCACACATGTACACAAATGTTTTACCTTATACACAGGAGCACTGGGAACTGGCACCAGCTGGGATACATTAACTTCACTGGCTTTATCCAAGCCATTTAATTTCTTTCATTTCTCCAATGTAAAATGAAATGATACCCTCTTTCCTATTAGATATTCACAAAAGTTTTGCAATATTAAGGCTTTTCAATTCTGTTAGCATATATTGACAGGCTACTATGTTCTAGGTATCACACTAGGCATTCACACCTGATGTGAATAAAACAAAATCTTTGCCATCAAGTTATAGTGTGAGGGGAGGTAGAAAGATAAACAGAAAATAATATGGCAGTGTAGAAAACGAAGTGATTGAGCCATGCACAGGACATTATCAAGCACCCAACTCAAGTGAGCAGAATTTTGGGAGAAAACAGCTTGAACTGAGCCTTAAAGGATAAGCAGAAAACAGCCAGGAAGAAGAGATGAAAAATCAAAAGCACAGAAATGTTAATCCAAATAGCATTTATGTATATAAACATCAGTAGCAGATAAAATCAAATTGAGAAGTACAGTGTCCAGCCATGAGGCTGGAGAGGTAGGCTGGTGCTACATCATAAGTGCTCTGTACACCACAATCTAAAAAATTTTGGAATTTAATACATTTTATGTATTGAATTAGCAAATGAGTTTCAATTTTTCAAGAACTTTTATGTATCCTAATTATTTCTAATAGGAATGGTGGTATTACATTTTACATATAAGAAAATTAATACAATTAAACATCTTGGTTGTAACCGTTGAAATTAATGTGTCCATGATGGTATCAGCTCCAGCTGCTCCTTTGTTTAATATAAAACATGCACATACTATACATATCTTTCTTCAGGAGACTTTTCTCTTTATTATATCTAAATATAACATATACAACATATCATCTCTCTTTATGTTAAATACTAGGCAGCTTTATTACCAGTTCCTATAGTTTTTATTCTTTGCTCAAATGCTAGATTTTAAAGCTCAGTTTAATAAAGAAAGACATGAAGCCAAGTACAGCAGCTCATGCCTGTAATCCCAGCACTTTGGGAGGCTGAGGTGGGAGGATCACTTGAGGCCAGTTGAAGACCAGACCGGGCAACACAGCGAGACCCCCATCGCTACAAAAAACTAAAAAATTAGCAGGGCACTGTGGTACATGCCTATAGTCCCAGCTATGTGGGAGGCTGAGGCAGAAGGAGCACTCAAGCCCAGGAGTTAGAAGTTATAGATGCCACTGCATCCTAGCCTGGGCTAATAGAGTGAGACCCTGTTTAAAAAAAAAAAAAAAAAAAAGAAAGCCATGAAACATTTTCTGAAATCTTAAGTTTGGTTGCTTTTTTGTTTTTGAGTTATCCACTCTTGTGACTGACAGGTGAGGAAGTTATGGGCATATATATCATTAAAGCAATGTCACCGCAATAAAACTAAAGGACTGACAACTTCCCCTAGATTTGGCAATTATTTATGAATTTGCTGAAATACATATTTGACTAAATGTTATACTTGGTTATTATAGAAGAAGAGTATGTAACAGGCATGCTTGATATAGATGCTAAAGGCCACTATTTACATATACACTCATCTGTCGGTATCTGTGGAGGATTGGTTCCAGGACCCCACACAGACACCAAAATCCACGGATGTTCCAGTCCCTGATATAAAATGGTGTAATATCTGCATACAACCTATACACATCCTCCCATATACTTTAAATCATCTCTAGATTGCTTATAATACCTAATACAATGTAAATGTTATGTAAATTGTTATACTGTGCTATTCTGGGGATAAGGACAAGAAAAAAGAGTCTGTACATGTTCAGTACAGATGCAACCATCCGTTTTTGTTTCTGAATATTTTTGGTCTGAGTTTGGTTGCATCCATGGATGTGGAACTTGTGGATACAGGTTGACTCTGTGTGTGTGTGTGTGTGTGTGTGTGTGTGTGTGAGAAAGAATATAAATTATCAATTCTCATATACGATGAGTATGTGCTAAATGTCCAGAATATCAACTAACTGTGCAGGGTTTGACTAGATGCAAAGCTAAGTGAAAAAGAAATGTGACAGGTCCTGGTGGCTGAAGGATATCTACTGGCTGAGAGGTAAACATTCAAACCAAGACTTGTTACAGCAGGAAACAGATCCTAGAGAATCCTTTGTAAAAGAGAATGTTGGCAGGTCATTATTTACAGATAAGGAAGGCACACACCTGTAGTCCCAGCTACTTGGGAGGCTGAGGTGGGAGCATCGCTTCGGACCAGGATTTTGAGGCTATACTAAGCCATGATCAGGCCACTGCACTCCAGCCTGGGTGACAGAGCAAGACCCAGTCTCTTAAAAAATAATACTAACATGAATAAATAAATAAATAAAGAGAATGTCACTGAGCTGGGCCAAACAGAAGCTGCCACATGTGACAAGTAAAATGAGAAAATGGAAAGAAACAATGCTCCTACAAAAGAAAACTGGACACTATATACATTGTCCCCTGGTGGCCATGACACCAAGGGAAATAACAGACCCAAGACTGTGCTAATCTTCAGTGTGGGGAAAGGTGATCTGTGACTCTAAAAGCCACTGGAGCCAACAGTGACTGAGAAAGGACCTGGAAGAGATGGGTGTGGAATAAGCTGAGCCTGCCTCAAAAATAGCAAGTCCATCTGAGATATCAAGAGGTTGCATAACAAAACTAATCAGCCATACAAAAAAAATGGAATCCCCCTCCTCTGTGGATTCACTTTTTGCACAACTGCAATCACTGTATTTAATATACTGCATCTTGTTTTTCTATGTGTTTGCCTGCTTTGGAGAGAGTAAGCAACTTGAGGGAAGGGAATGTGTCCTCAGCTGTGTCTGACATGTGGTGGGCCCTCAATAAATGTTTACTAAATGACAAACCAATGCCTAACTTACTTACAAAAAGAAAATGAAGAAAAATGAATTCGATAGAAATTTCTATTTTTCTATTTTATCTTGTACCATTTCTTCCTACTCTGCCATAAATAACTTAAGAATATCCTTTAAAATTCAAAGTGTTTCAATGCTTACCCTGTGACCACCAGAGTTCTACTTGGTTCTGCTCTAGAAAGCAAATAGCAACAAATCATGTAGAAGCAGAACAAACAATACATTCCACCAGAAATTTCAGAG